TATGCACAACCTTGGAACAGGGATACAGAGATTGAAACATGGTTGGAATGGGGAAAAGGGGGGAAATAATTTTAAGATGCTTGGCTATCTTTTGAATCTTGGTTTACCTTGCATACCATTGTAAAATAGACACTTGAGGGGGAGAGAAAGGAATAACCAGAAATACCACCATAGAAAGCTTCTAAGTCCGTCTTCTGCCTATAACTGATTGGATACCTAAAATGGGGCTACAGCGTGCCCAGTGAAGGAGGCTTCCTGTGTAGCCTCTACATTACATAAGACTATAGGTGGAATCCTGAACAGCATCCAGAATTTTCAGAGGTGGGGAATATTCCACTTGAAAGGACGGACAGACCAGCCTGGAGTGGCTAGAGGAACAGAAGATACTTCTTGAAAGAAAGATTGACAGGAAAAATCCAAAACAAAGTAGGCAGACCGACTGATTAATACAACAACAAGCAAGTTTCTCACCCAGGAGACATCAAGGCAAGTGGTTGGGTCCCCTCAGAGTAAACCCCCTTCGAGACTAAAACTCAGTGGGAATACATGCTCTGCTTGGTGACCATATTCGTCACCGATAAGGGGAACTGAGGGAATAACAGCAGTGAAGTTGTGAGCTAAGCCCTGCAATGTTCAATAGACTCCTGTGAACCCGGGTGGAGACCTGGTTGGCCAGCAGTGTGGCAAGACCTGGGTACTGTTGGGCCTAGAGTCAGTGACATAGCCACAGAGGACTAGAGTGGAGAGTGAAGTGTCCAGCTGATAGAAGAGAGGGCATATGCACAAGAACACCCACACTTGCAGATAATGCCCACTTGACCTGGCTTCAATGACTGGATGATCAGAGCTCAATTAGAAGAAGAAAGAAGAAAAAAGAGTAATCTGATACAATTTGATGAACTTGACCTATACCTATGGATGCAGTAGCTCAAAAGAGGGAACAAATTCTTACAGCTAGGATCATTCCCACCCCCTCCAAACACAGAGTAGACAGAGATGGGCAACTTGGGCACTGGCTACCCAAATTGGGGAGGCTACAAAGGCAAGAAGTGACTGGCTTACAAGCTTTCAAGAGGGAATCTAAATCCGGGGAGGAAGATAGAACCTCCACTGAGTAGTATCCAGTCTGTCTGAGAGAGGCTGATGAAAGGAAATGTGGATAGGTCTTTTATGATACAATAGTGAATAATTGTTATCAGGACTGATTGTGAGGGTTGGAAATGTAAAGGCAGATGTTTTGTATCATCGAGGGGAGTGATTAACTTTGCAGTGTAGGAGTGCAGGGCCCTGAACCATCAAGGGAGAAGAGCAGAGAGCGGGATCCTACCTAGAGAAGCAGTGACGCCAGAGATGGAGGCAGAGACGATGACGTGGAGAGATGGAACAGCTGGACATTTAAGACCCTGAGAGGGAGAGGGGCTGTGTGCTGATGAACGGCGGGGGTGTGTGTCGGGGGTGTGTGTGGCAGGCTTGTGGGGTGTACCCTTTGGTTGGTTGATGATGCATATGGGAGGGCATTGTAGCCATGACAATCAAATGACATATAATAGGATGAATGTAAAACTAATGTTCTCCTTTGTAAAGTATCACATAATTCACAATAAAACATTAAAAACAAAAAGAAATAAAGACCCATTGAATTATTAATAGACATACACCGTGCTTCTACAGCTGGAAGTACACACACTGAACTGTAAGTACCAAGGTGTTAGGGATGGGATCATGTAAATGTCACTTTCCTTTTCTAGTTCTGTATTTCAGTGTTTAAAAAAATGTTAGGGTACCTGCATAGGGTACCCTGTATAATGTTTATGAGGCTGTAAATCTTTGTGGAAGCAGAAAGTCTCATCTTTCTACTATGGAGCGGCTGGTGGGCTTGCACCCGTGGCCTTGTACCTGTGACCTCGTAGTTCAGTCCAGTGCTTATTCTATGGAGTGGTCTCAGCAGCTCCCATATTCTATCAAATCTAAGATGATATTTGTTATAAGACACACCTTTATTTTATGTACCGGTAAAGGAGTAAAATGTAGTCCCAGTTAATTGTAAGACATAAGCAGAATTAAGAAATGTGACTCATGACGAGCATGCATTACAAAATCAGTGATTGCATGTGGGCATATAAAAAAGATATACAAGAGAAAAAGTAGATAGTTGAGAAAGTGAAGAAAAGGGGATGAGACTGAAGATGAAAGTGGAGAAGTTGACCTTGAGTATGAATAGAGTGCATCTTCCTTTGCAATGAAACGAAGGGATGAATGAGTAGTTATTCTGAGTCAAGATTAGAAGTTGAAAAGCTAAAAATTAAACAAACTCCAATTAATTAATCTCCACCTTGATAAAAGAGGAGGCAAGGTCATCTGATAAAAGGAGAGAATGATAGTGATGAGCTTGAGGGTTAGGGGCTTGAGAGTGGAAAGGTTTCAAGCAAGTAGGGTTTAAAAGAGGGGTATGAAAGATGGTTAGAAAGGAGTAAAACAATTCCCAGTAGAAATGGTGACCCAGTTGAAATAGAAAAGCATAGATTTATAAAGAAACCAATCGGCCCTATTTTATGACTTTGTTTAGGAACACTTGGTACCCTGAGAGAAGGATGGAAGAATACAAATGGAAGGGACTTTCTGCAGGGTAGGAGATTGGCCTGACAGGTATGGTGGAAGGTCAGAAAAGCTCAAGCTAAGGTTCTTCTAAAGAATACCATTGCTTTCACTTGCCATGGAGTTCTAAGAAAGGATAGATGTAGAGGATATCAAAAGACCAATGATAGGTAAATGAAAATAATATTTTTTAAAAAATGGTGCCGAGATTGAGGGATTTGAGAGTTTTTAAAAGGTGAAGAACACATTCTTTTGAAGACAAGTCATTGGTAAATAGAAAGTTGATTGGGGGATTTTAGGATTTAAGATTATGGAGGGTAGGATTCTAAGAGTTGAGCCTTAGATGTTATCTTTCTAAACCACAGATGAGAGTATCTCTCTACATAGCTTGAAAACCTCTAGGGCGCCCCCATTTCTTTCAGGAGTAAGTCTTTACACCTTATAGAACAGATGCAAGCTGGCCCCATCTTACATTTCCATGCTAATATGTCATCATTCTAACTATACAGAACTCTTCTTTGTTCCCAGAAACCTCAAGGCTTTTCCCCTTCTTAACACATGCTTTCCCATTGCATGGATTGGACTTCTTTTTTTTTTACCTTGCAATCTCCTTCCCATCTTCAAGACCTATTCCTTTGTCACTTCTGAGGCGTTTCCTGTGCTTCTATGAACAACACTGAACACATCTTCATCTGTGATCCCATCCCATAGTATCTTGTGCATACTTCTATTACATTTTACCATGAGTATATTTACTTATATGTCTATTTTTCCAATTAATGATAAACTTCTTGAAGTCAGAAATTATATTTCTCTTCTTTACCCATAGTACTAAGCACATACTTGATACTAGGTGTTTAATATCAAGCATTTTGTTTTTGAGCTTTGAATGAACCAACTATTTCAATACATCTCAAAATTTAATGTCCATTGAAATCACTTGGAGAGAGCTTGTTAAAACTCAAATTCTTATTCAGTAAATCCTAGGTGGAGCCTGAGATTTTGTACTAGCAAGCTCCCAGGTGATGCCAGTGCTGCTGGCTTATGGAACTGATCCAAACTGTGTTTGTCCAGTACATAGCAGAAGCAGAGTCAAGACAAGACTGTGAAAAATGGGTTAGGGAAGTAGTGATGACAGTAACATGGAGAGCCCAACTTATAAATAGTGAAGCTCCAGTATTTAAAACAGCGATAAGTGCAGTGAATACTCTCATACATCGATCATGGAGTAAAGCAAAAACCATTTGGCAAGACTGAGATCATAAAAGGAAAGGTTCATGCAAGAGAGGTGGGTGGTGGTAGAAGTTGATGTTTGGGGGTGGGTCATGAGAAGGCTTAGGGGCCTCCAGTGTTTATTCATAATAAAATGTCATTTCTACCTATGTAGGCAGGAGTGATGAGAGGAAATAGGAAAGGATGGATTATAGAGGAAGGAAAGCCCTTGAAAAGATGGTACAAATAGAATTTGACAGGTTATCATTTCCTGACTTTAGGTTTTCAGGTTCAAAGCATGAAGATCCTCTTTTCTTTTAAACTCACAGCACGAAGTTTCATAGGTCTGATAATACTAAGGATGGCTTCCGTGAATATTCTTATATAAAGGTTATAAATACATGCTTTTTTAACATGAAAAATTTCAAAGATGAATAAAGAAACATTTTTAATATCTTTCTACTGCATTCTTGCTTAGAAATTTGTCCTAAGCATTCCTCTAAGACAAGCACTAACTTATTTTTTTCCTGTTGTTAAATGCCATCAAGTCAGATCTCATAGTGACCTCTATGTAGGGTTTCTGAGGAGCAACTGGTGGGTTTGAACTCCCAACTTGCAGTTAGCAGTTCAGTGCTTATCCAACAGCACCAAACCAGGACTAAACATTTTTAATTAGCTGTATGTTAATATAGATTTACCATAGTTCTGCCATTCTCCTATTGGTGTACAGTTACATTTATTTCCTTATTTTGCCACTACAAACAGTGAGCAACAACCAAAAAAAAGTGGTCTTGTTGGTACCAGTGTTTCAGACAACACCATTCATGACTTCAGTCAGCCAGACGTATCAAAAGTGAATTTTATGTCAATGGTTTCTTTTAATGAAGAACATCAATATGTTGTCCAGTACAACAGCTGCTAGTCACATGTAGCAATTTAAATTTGAATTAGTCAAAATGAAGAATTCAATTCTTCAGTCACCGTGGTGCTCAGTAGCCACATGTTAGTAATGGCTACCACGTTAGACAGCACAGAATAGACCATTTCCATCATCACAGAAAGTTCTATTGGACTTTCTGGTCTAGACACTCTAATGTTACATCTTAAAGAACATATCTTTCAGTGGGTTAGTGTTTTAATGATAATAATTAAAATTTTTTTAAATGTTCTGTCTTTATTGTTTGCCTCTGCAGTTACTTCAATGAGAACCAATACCCAGATGAAGCAAAGAGAGAAGAAATTGCCAATGCTTGCAACGCAGTCATACAGAAACCAGGTGAGTCACTGAGCATAGCTTTGCCCTATGGTAGCACCCTGTGTTACAAATTTGCATTCGGACCTGAGTCTTGTTTGAATTTTTCCAACTTGGTGCTCTCAGCTCTGTGTGTGCCATTCTTCTGCTGGTACCTACTAGCCTGTTCTATTCCCACACAGTCTTCAAAATCCAGGGCTCACATATTTAAGCAAGGTTTGTTAATAAAAATATTTAGAGTTTTTACATCTGTTGTAAATAATACAATTCTGTATTTCTGTATTCAGTTTTGAAGTTCTCCCTTTTGTTTATATGCACATCAACAGAGTCACTTAAAGAATTCATGTGTGTGTGTGTTTTCCATGTGCTAAAATATTCCACATTTTGCTGTTTTTATTACCAGAAACCATTGTCAGTTAAGAGGGTATGATTGATCTCCGTTTGTCTGGTTGTTTTTATAGGCAAAAACAATAATTGATCCTCCCTTAGTTATGAGCCAGACTTCTAGCAATCTAGATCCTCCAGACTCAGGTCCAACCACAGAAAAGTGAGCATATCGGTACCCTTGTTTCTGCCCTAAAGCCATGCAGGAACTTGAACTATTCCTGAAAACCCTCTACCCTTGTACCATCCAGGCCCTAAGCAAACCTGTTTTCTGGTTTCACAGTCCACTGTGGATTAAAAGCTGAAAAATAGGAAAGTACAAGGGCAGGGTCAACAGGAGGTCGTATGGGTGGGTCATTTTTTGACAAACGTAGTGCTCTCAGTGTGGAGAGGGACATGGGACAGCAAAGAAGGTAATAAATATGAAGCACCAACTGAATTCTGCCATCTAACGTCATTGGAGTGAGTAGTCCATTGCTATGATGATGAATGATCGTAGTGGCCTGTGGTATTCAGAATTCCTTAATATGTGTGGTGGTGGTGGTGGTGGTTGTATGCCATTGAATTGGTTCTGATTCATAATGACCCTGTATAGGATTTCTGAGGTTGTAAATCCTTAAGGGAACAGAAAGCCTCATCTTTCTCCTGTGGAGTAACTGGTAGATTTGAACTGCTGACCTAGAGGTTAGCATCCCAGCTTATAATCCACTGTGGTGCCAGGGCTCCTTTAATAATGTGTATGGCTTTCTAATTAGAACCATTTTCTGTTACTACCTGATTCTTTTATTTATGTGTTTATTCATTTAGTTGACATTGTACTTTGTTAGGTGTTACCAAGTTGGTTCTGATTCTTAGCAACCCTGTATAGGATTTCTGAGGTGCAACTTGTGGGTTTGATCTGCCAACCTTGTGGTTAATAGTCCAGTGCCTATATTACAGTGCCACGCTAGTACCCAAATGGAATCTCCTCTACAACTATTTTAGCAATAAATGCAATCAAATGTATCTTTAAGAAAAAGAAAGGAGAAATATTATCCCTTGAAACATATTCATTCTTGAGTCCCAGATATAGGTTATCTGAATTTGGTTGCATGCATTCACAGGCAAAAAGCTGTCAGATCTGGAACGTGTTACCTCCCTGAAAGTATATAATTGGTTTGCTAACAGACGGAAGGAGATCAAGAGGAGAGCCAATATCGGTAATGTATCAGAGAGGCTGCTTTCTCCTTTGGGAACTGTTACAAACATCATATTTATTTCAAGAATGCAGTTTAGAAATTATGGGTCTAAATGATCCTAGAATGTAAGTCTAACGGGAAGTGTCCTGGAGTTTTTCTTCACTGTAGTTTTAATAATCCAAAGTTAGTATTATTATACTATTTGTATTATCAAAATAGTGGCATTGTTATTTATAAAGCTCATTGTTCTTTGTGTTGTAAAACATAAAGTTAGACGTGGACCCCAGCAGATTATTTCTCTGGTACACATCAAAGATGCTGAGAGGATCCTGAGAGAAGGCATATAATACCCTCAGCTTCTCTGACATTAGTAGGCTAAAGCTGAGATACTAGGAAATATCTGATTAATAGGATTAAAATGAAAGACTTTATAGACAAGGGAAACAAACGACAATAATTAAAAAAAGCTTGTAAGGAATTTGAATGGAAAAGATTGAGTGAGGGTTGGTTTTCAGCCTCTTAGAGTTGCATTATATTGATTAACATACTTCCTGTTCGTGCTTACAGTTCTCAGATGCTTTATAGAACTCCAAGACTAGAGAGCTATTTAATTAGTTAGCAAGTGTTTATTAAGCTCTTAACAGCTTCTCAAACTTTACATGACCAGCAGTAGAGGCTGTCAGGGAAGAGATAATTTAGGGATCCATTTGCTTTTTTCGAAGAAGCAGCAATCCTGGAGAGTCATGGGATAGATGTACAGAGTCCAGGCGGCCATTCCAACAGTGATGATGTCGATGGAAATGACTACTCAGAGCAGGTGAGCAGCTGACAGGGGTTCTTGGTTACAGAGTGGAAGGGACAGTGTGACAGCTGAGGTCTGTGGGAGTGTTTTGTACGGGGTGGGGGAGGGGAAGCGAGTTAATGTCCCTCCACTCTGCTCATGTGTCTAGTTAGATTTTCATGTAATTTGAAGGGAATGTGATAAGATTCAGTTGTCCTGTTGAAGTTGTGAGCAATCGCGATTCACCCATATGGATTTATTGTCATACAACAGGATACTTGGCAAGTACGCAATGGGGAGGAGGAGGAGGGAAGAAGTTCAGAGGGAGGCAGAGAAGCAGAGAAGGTAGAAGAAGAGAGGAGGATCTGATCCAAACAAGCAAGTTACACCATTCACCACACACACACTCAATGTCTGAGAAATACTAGGGGCAACTGGGTAGCTGTAATCCATGCTAAACATGTACCAATCAGGACACAATGTCAAGTCCCACCCACCGCAGCCCCATTGCAGTAGGAACCCTCGTCCTGGAGATGAGTGGTTCTTCAGACTTTCTTTGGCACGTTGACACAAATCCTTTCATCAGTACCTTACCTGCATGTCTTCCCATCTCACCACAATACACTCCTCATTGCTTGGAAAACATGTATTTAATTGTAGCCACTGGATGGAATAATTCCATTACTAAGAATGTAGGCGTCCCCCACCCCCAACCTATCTTTTGTCAAATATCATTAAAATTTTTATAGATTTAAAATTCATTTTCATTTGAAATATGAAAAGAATGTGTGGCCTCTTCTCTTAGACCCCACACAGCAGGAAAATTTTAGCTCTATCCCCAGATGTTTACACCTTTTCTTCGTCCCTCAGCCAGCCTTAAATATAGTCCACAGTGTTTCAGTCTGTAGGTTCCCCTGTTTCTTCTTCGTCGCAATTCTACTGTCTCTGTTTGCCAGCTTGAGCAGCCACCACAAAGTTGCTGCATTTCTCTGTTGATCCCTTTTAAACCCTAAAGACTAATCCTTGGAACTGAAGCCATGATAGCCATGTTTCCCAATGGTTACCCCGTTTTCTTTTAGGACTCCAAACTATAGTTCAGATCTGTCACTCAAAAGCATGCCCTGTAAATCCTTCTCATTGGAAACATTCTGGTGATTTTCCACTCACCTCTATAGATGGCTCCTTCCCATCTTTTTTTTACAGATGCCATAAGATTAGCACGTCCCAGGCTTTTTCCCCTCAGGGGTTTACCCTTTCAAAGTTATTTGATACAGAGTTCCCCTGAAGACGTGACAGGTGAGAAACTTAGCCCTGATTGTAACACTATCTTCAGTTCCTGACATAAAGCCCCAAATGCCAGTTTTCTTTCACAGCTTTGTTTTTTAGCACACTGAGCTGGTATGTGGAAGGAGTACTTCACTCTCTCTGCTAAATAAGTTACCTGTCACTCCAGTCCACAGCTGCTGTTCAGCAGGAAAACTCCAAATTTCTTCTAAATCCATTTCAGGTGGTTATACTTTTGCCCAGTCATAATTGAAAACTTTTTCTCTTTTTTTTTTAAAAAACACATTTTTTTTTTTTAACTTGCAAGGTATTGGGCATTTAGTCTGCAAGATGTTGGTCTTCAAGATATAGTTTTCAACTTTGATTTTCTCAGTTTTGTAGAAAGATACAATTAATTCTAATAATCTGATTAAAAGAATATCAGCCTGGTAGTTAATAGTTCACTTGTATGGCCTTCAAGAATTAATTTTATAATGGTTCAAACAAAAAGATCCAAAATTGTTAGTTTTAGGTCAGTCACTCGAAGATGGATCAGATCACCAGCAATTTTTCTGACAGACAGAATAAAATCCCCAGTAAGAAAAGGTCAGTTATCTGTGCTTTTTGTTAGTTGACTCTTAAGAATGTCAGCTTAGTCTCTGGACTTCTGTCCATTCAGTGTCTACTTAAATACAATTCACCTCCATACCATGATAAGACCCTCCCCTCCTCTGTTCCTGCCCTGGATCTTCTCCCTCCCTTGCCCCCCAGCATGCTCTCCTGTGAGTTAGAGAACCCTACCAGCCCACTAATCACCGTTTGTTTCTTATTTCTGCACATCTAGGATGACAGCACTAGCCATAGTGACCACCAAGACCCCATCTCATTAGCTGTGGAAATGGCCGCAGTCAACCACACTATCTTGGCATTGGCCCGACAAGGGGCCAACGAAATCAAGACAGAGGCCCTGGATGACGACTGATCAGGGAGGGTGAAACACAAGACGTTAACTTAGTTTTAGATGTAGCACCTTAGCAGACTTTCCTCGGTCCTTAACATGTGTTCTTACAGTATAACTTTGCAGTTTCTTGTATGTCAGTTAGCTGTTAGGGTCTTGTTCTGTGAAGATGGCATGGTGCCCTCAGCCTTTGCATATACTCTCTCAGTATTAATTCCCAGTAAATAATAACCAACCAACCAACCAAACTTCTCTCCCAGCCCCCGAGGCTAGAAAATCTTGCTGCTCCGTCTTAGCATTCCAAGAAAGTGCTTCCAGGTATTTAGATATCCCTCAGTTCTCAAATATTAGGCTACGTGTAAAATTTTGGATCCCTTTAGATTCATCCCCTTATCCTTCCCAAGACTGATAGGATGCAAGCTGAGGTTGTGTGGCACAGGATTGACAGACACCGTTTGGGGAGTATGCACAGAGTAAAAGGAACACTAGAATCCCCACCTCAGCATGAGAATAATTGATTTCCAGCTGCAATAAGCCGTGCCTCATTATAGTCACACTGTGGCTAGATTATACTTCTTTGGGTGCTGTGCTAAGAATGTCAATGGAAAAACTTGATCTCAGAATTTGGTTGATGTAAACATGCTTGACGCAGACATCCTCTCCTCTCACAAGCTGTGTGACTTAGTAGATAAAATACTGCCTTTTGCCTTTGGGACCATGATTTAAAAAAAATAAATAAAAGAGAGAGAGAGAGAAACACAAATCATTAAAACAAAAAACAAAAACCCAGCTTGAGAGCATTTGAAAAAAATTGAGTGGATTGTCTAATGGGTGCTAAAGTCCAGTTCTCAGCACCACTGTACATTACGTGGCACGGTTACCAGTGCCTGCCTGGAAACGTCCCGAGGTCATCACAGAAGTTACTTTGCCTCCTGTCTGGGTCCCTTTTCCCTGCTACCAACAAAAGGTTTTCAAGGATGGAACTAAGGTCAAACATGAGTGAATGAACTTGTTGTTAGTCTTTGTACCCATTAACTGAAGCCACCTCGCTTTGAGAGGTTGATTGAGGACTAGAGAGTGGGAGTATGCTGACTGACTATCACAAGTGCAAATACTTGCCTAAGTAGGAGCAGAAAACTGCAGGGGACGTTGACCACGGGCATGTGGCTGTGTGAGACCCAGGGGATGTGAGGGCTCCCCTGTGCTCTTTACTCTGTCCTTGTAGAGGTGTGAAAAGCTATATTGCTACAGGCAATTTATTTAATAATTGGAAGCCATATTGATAATGGATGTGGTAATATTTGTAAAGTTTAATCTACTTTAAGCGGCAGTAACTAATGGAATTTTTTTCCTTGATCACATATGTAGCACTTTTGTTACTTTTTAAAGATATTTATATTTGATAAATCCTTTTTTTCATTTTGAGAACTCAAAATACCAAACAGTGAACTTGTGTCAAAAAGTCACCCTGTGATCACCTTGTCATCTAGTTGCAAAATGATGAACTATTCATGCATCAAAGAAAATTACATCTGCTGGCCTTGTATGAAAATGATGTCTTGGCATCCCGTTTAAATGACACACTGTCACTGCGGGTAAGAGGAAACAGCATTCAATGTAGCAACGTAGGGTGCATCTGAAAGAGACACGAGTGCTGTATATTTTCTGCCTCATTCCTTCTCTCCTGTCTGCAAATAATGAAGCCTTGGTTAAAGGGAAATATGGAGCTGGTTAATAAGCAGGGCTCCCTCCTCCCATGTTTTTGTCTTATCACCTGAAAACAATTTCTAAGGTAAAAGGAAGGTGCCATTTCCTCACCTCTTCACCCCACTCTCCACCCCCACCCCCCACCCCACCCCACCAAATGTATTCAACTTAAAACCATAGAGAGAGAGACTTCATGACTTTCCTCATTGTTCCCTGTCTCCTTAGTGAGATGTTGAACAACCTCCAGTTTTTAGCTGGTCTAACTCCACTGAAGGCGCACACTGACTAGATGTCTCCTCCTCTGTTTATCTTGCTGACATAGGTGTGAAGACTGGGCAGTGCCACCTTGTGTGTGTGTCTGTGACTTCAGGCCTGACCCTGGTCCTATCTGTGGATTTCAGGGGGGAAATGTATGTGCTTTGTCCACCATTTGAGAATTGAAGTAAAGCAGAGCAGTCTTTTCTATTTTACTGTATTACTTGAACCAACCTTTGAGAGTAGCATTTGTTAATCTCAGGAATGATCCCCTCGCTCACATTCTTTCTTGGTTTGTTTGACTTTTTATTTCAGTTAGGAGGTTGTATTATCTTTCTTCCTTTCTCTTGTACTTAGGAGAGATTTAACATACTGTATCTTTTCATTTTGGTGGAATTTTGTCTGCTTATTCTCAGTTGAATCAGAAAGAAAAGGAAAGGGAGAGAGAGAACTACACTCTGACAGTCCACATCCATGATTTATTGTTGGGAGATTATAATAATTGATAGCTTCTTTATGGTAAGACAGCTACTGTCATTTGTTCTTGCTGGTCTTTTTAAAGGAACAAACTCAAACTGTTAAGGCAGCTGCAGTTTCTAAAGAAATACAACGATTGCCACAGAAAAGCTAAAAGGTTCCATTATTGTAAGACCTCTAATGAAAGAAAGAAACTTCAGAGGATAAAGGGAATTCATGTCCATGAAGGCAGTCCCATGCCATATCTGGCACTGTGGTATATCCTTCTGATATGGGGTGGCTAGCATCCTGTTGGTTCAGAAAGAAGAGGAAGGTTGCCCCCACAATTCTCTCACTTGAGAAGACTGCTCGCTTGCTCTGAAGACCCGCTGCCTTACACAGAACTTTTGCTTTTTTGCATTGACTTTTTTTGGACCTAGGTTTAAATCTCCCACTGGCTTTCTGTTTGCCCCCAGGTTTATTTCTGCTGTCTTGTCCAGGTCACTTTAGTTCTCATAATGACACATAGAGTTGCCCCTGTTCAATCTTTGGTGGTGGTGTTTTTCCTTAAGCTTGTTCAGGTTTTAGACTTGTTATCAAGCTAGAAATTGCTCTGTTACTGAAAGAAAACTAGCCAGGTTCTTAAGAAAGTTTGTCTAATGCCCTGTGGTGGTTCTGTTTCTTTTCTCTCACCATGTCTGCCCTTCGTCAGGCCCCAAAGGACTCTGTCAGGGGCTGCTCCCTCCTGCTCCAAAGACTTTAAAACAAGTGACAGGAGGGACGTTGTAACCGTTATTTGTGTACTTTATCTCCCCCACCCCCCTTCTCATGCTATGTTAGAAAGACACTTTGAGTTACTGCAGTTGAATTGATCCAGATGGGTGAAGTTCCTACCTTTTTCACAACACAACCTTACATAGGGACCTTTTAAAGATGGACCATCCTAAAGCAGAGTCTTCCTGTCTGTTGGTAACCATAACATCAGATGAAGACCAGAGGAGGAAACTACAGACCACTCACGTCTGACATCATGTGGGCCGGCCATTCAATACCAAATAGACATTATCTCAGCAAAGCTTACAGTGTTGGCGTTTTCATCTTCACAGTTTCCATCCTTTAAGTGGTTGGTAAATGCAGATACCTCTTACCTACCCATGGGTCCTGTACTGTTCCCAGCACAGTCATTTGGTGGGACAGTTCCACGCATACATTCCTATGACCCTTTGCAGGAAGAAGGGACCTAAGGCAGAAAGGATGAAGCCTACCTAGCTCTACAGAGACACAGTGAGGACGAAGCACACTAACTCTGGAGTGTGCGTTCCCGGCACTCTGGTTCCTGATAGGTTTCTGATGGCACCTATTCTGGGTCCAGACTTCCAGATTTATTTTTACCTCACAGGGGAAAAAAATCCTCATAATGATGTCACTAATACAGTTGTTTCAGTTCTCCTATTTGGCCTTTGTCTTTAGAAAACATTGGTTTTTGAAACTTTTCACTTGAATTCAATCCATCAGACACCAAATATAGAACAGACTTTCATGGAATCGGGAATCTCCAGTCACATTCTCTGTTGGTATGACCAACTCCTCCTCTCTTTTCTTCTGTGCTCCAACACCGAGTCCTGGGTTCCAGCTGACCTGGAGTCTCTGATCTGTGGCAGCCATCCACAGAGCGGTGGGTGGGACCCATGTCTTCACACTTCCTGTCATACAGTCTGTCTACCTAGTCCCCTGACCCACTTTCTCTTCATACCAGTGGAAATAGCCCCTTTCTTCATATGTGATCCCCCTCCCCAGTCCTAAAAATGTGAACTTCAAGTCCTTACTCTCTTTGGTCTTAAGAAGGGTTTGGTTAGAAGCAGTCTTCCCATGTGACTCATGGTCTGCCTTTTAAAATGGCTTCCTGTTGTTTGTTGTTCAAAGAATAACCAGAGTATTTTCCCCCAATGAGTCTCAGCAGATTCTTAGGCAATAATTTTTCTTGTTGAGAATTTTGTTCTCAGTAACAGTCTGTAGCAAGTAGTCCTGACCCTGTATTGTGTGTTGGTTTTCTGTGTTAATCTTTGTGATTTTCATCCCATGTCAATGGTGATAGTTTTTGTCCTTTTGTTGTGGTGGTTATTGGTAATGTTTTACTACTGTATTCATTGGGGCTGCACTGAGACCAGCCAAATCCATTTATAGCTTTACTGAGCCGGATTTATTTGTCGAGACTTCCCAAGTGAAAGTTGGGCTCATTGACCAGCTCCTGCTGGTAGCATCTCTAGGGGGTGGGAGATGCATTGGGGTGAGGGTGGGAATTACACTTATAAAGCATTCCTTTTCTGTGTACTCTTTAAATAGCAAGGATCTTTACTCAGGATTTGGGAATCCGTTGTCAGCCATATTGAATTTGACAAACTGAGCTGCATGCCCTGAAAGCCCTTTGACTGTTTCTTCCTTTTCTTGTGGTCTGGTTTACATCACCTACTAATGCCCAAGTTCTCTAGTGTAAAGGCATTCCACAGTCATGGGAATGGAAGGCTTTCTAGAGGAGGCAACTCTGAATGGCCAGGACTTTGGTCAAACAGTACCCTCGGAGGAGACGATGGGATTACACTGGTCAGAGTACAGGCCCTTTCTTGTCTCTGTAGCCTGTCTCCTTCATTATAACACTGTTTCAAAAGATAACCATCACTTAAAAAAGAAAGATTTTCTTGCCACTCTCCATAGATTTCCAATACTAAGGTGGTAGGAAAGGATTTTTAAAATATATCAAGCGAACAGGTCAGTTTTCTGATTGCAGAAATGTCTCTCTCACAAACGGGTATGTTCAGTAAGGCTGTGCTTAATTCTCTGTATTAGCCTCAAGTGATCTGCCACTGCTTTTGAATCTTTGAAGGCCAGTGCTGACTCACTTTTCTCTCAAGTACAACTTTGTTCCTACTTAGGTATGTTCAAGAGCTAGAAGTTTCTGTATTAGTTTCCTTGTTCTTTCTTGGTGCAGATGAGGAAATAAGAAATAGCAACTAGAAAGCTAATGATCTAAGAAATCTAGTTTCTTACAACATTGAGGGGGCCGTTATTCGTTTTGTTTGATCAAGCGGGGAGAGATGAGTGAAAGCAAATTTGGGTGCAGCCAGGTATCTTATCATCACCCAAGGCTCTCATAATGTAGTAGGTGCCTTAGGTTACAAAGACTCAGATCCCTGAACTCTTTTTCCCTCATTCTTCACATGACACTTGGAACCAGGCAATAAACAGAAATGTAGAGTTGATTTTATTCAAGTGAAATCTAACTAGCGTTTTTCACACCACTTGACAGTTGACCACTCACATCTCATACCCATTGTCTCATTCCAGCTCCCTAACAGCCACAGAAGGTTCCATCTTCAGGGGCAGCTCTGAGGCTCCCTCCCTGCCTTCCCTTTTCCTGGGCAAGGTTTGGATCTCTCTGCTCCAGTATGGCCCTGGCAGGTGTGGACTCGGCCCTGTGATGAGTGTCTGGGTCCCAAGGTGCAGGTGGCATATGGGTAGCAGTGGGGGGCTGTGGTGTGGCAATACAGACACGGTGACCCTGGCGAGGGGCCTGTGCACGTACACAGCCTGGCTGTCACTGAAAAGATCGCACAGTGCCGGCTCCCTTGACTCCAATTTCGTTTTCTCTCTCTTAAATAAAAGTGGCTCTCCATAGCCATAATGAACTCTCAAATTCACATTGGTGTGCTGTGATCAAGGGTAGGTTTGGCTGAATCTTTTCAAATTGTAACCATGGTAATTGAGGGGGGGGTGGCATCGAATGAATATATAAAAATATAATGACAATTGTTCTGAGTGACTGCGTGTCCTCCTGACATGTAATTAGCTGTTTTAGCAAGACGTGGATTGGCATGGTCATAATTAAAAGGGTTTCTGTCCTTTATGTGATTGAAAATGGCAGATCTCCCATTCCCTGTTCCCTTTTAGCACGATTACTCTCAAGAACATTTGGAACAGCAACTCAGTAAACTAAAATAATGACATGGTGCTCTTGTTCTCCCAAGTGAAAGGGAAAGATTTGGATTTATTTCAGCTTCAAAATGGAAGCCTTTGCTCCTTGCTCCCCATGTAATGTACTTGAAACCCCCTCGCACAGCCGCTTTCCACCTGCTCCTCCTTTGGACAGAAACCACAGTCAGAATCCCAAATGCTGTGACAGGCCC